GGAAGGAAGGAAGGAAGGAAGGAAGGAAGGAAGGAAGGAAGGAAGGAAGGAAGGAAGGAAGGAAGGAAGGAAGGAAGGAAATATTCCACAATTCCAAACACCCCCTGAAATCTCCAGTAATTTTCCTAAGGAATAGATATGTGAGCAAATGTAAGTCTTTGGCCTTTGGCCTTAGTTAATCAAAGGATGCCACAGATCCTTTGGAAGACTAAAAATGAGCACATTTGTCCTGTATCAGCTTGGGTATGTTTTCTTCTGGCAATAGGAGGAACAAAAGGTTCAGAAAGAATTATAATATGGAAGAAAGAAATAAGAGATAAGCAAACCACTTTTGTCTCAGAAGTCATCAACTATCAGTATGTGTCCTGATGAATTATGCCCAAGGGAATGTGTTTCTCACAGGAAAAAGAGACTCCTTATCAGCCCTAAATTAATGTTTTTTGGTTTAGATTCGCAGGCGGACTGTAGCAGTTTATGGACAGTTTGCAGGAAATCCATGTTCAGGAAATTCATTTGAGACTCGTTCATGTGTTCCCACAAGAGGTTGCCCAACAGCAGAAGGATGTGGTGACCGTTTCAGATGTTCTTCAGGTATACAGCTTCAAGAATCTAAGTGACCTGCTGATTGCTCTGTAGTGAAAGCAAATGGGAGCTGCTTGGGAGGCAACAGAGAGAATTATCTGAAATAATTACTTTTCAGGTTTGTTTATCAGATTGTGGTAAAGGGACCATTGGATAAGACCCAGTGCCAAAATACCAGAACTAGATGTCAAACAACACTGTGGTTTTATGAGTCAGGTATCTATAGCTACTCTATAGTGAAATGTAATCATTTGTTCTTGGGTTTCCTTTCTCAGTGCTGGCTGTGAATTTGGGGAATTGTAGACCCAAGAGAACCGAAGACTACCAGATTAAGAAAAGTTGTTTAGATGTTGTCAAAGAGGTCAATTTGTTCATCATTTCTGGTTTTGCCTAAGAGTGTCTTCCCTATCAATATTGTCTATCTTTACAATAACAGGACAATGCATTAGCAAATCATTGGTGTGCAACGGAGATCAAGACTGCTTGGAAGATGGCTCCGATGAAGATAGATGTGAAGAAGTCAAGAAAATATGTGTCGAGAATCCCCCTCTTAGGACACCTCCTAATGTAGAGCTTACGGGATCAGGGTAATTTGCTTTGTAGTTCTTCTGAATGAAAAAGTTATAGTTTTTACTTATCAATCCCTTGTTGAGGAAATCTGGGCAGCATATTTAATGATTAATTGCTATATTAATTATTACAATTAATCATGACCACCTTAATTCTTACAACTAATACTTACTTGGGGGGATAGGCTAATATCTGGCATAAGCAAGTGGCTGGGGCCTTGGACCACATTGGTCCTGTGCGACCTCTCCCTGTGCACTGATCCTGGGGTGCCCCTTGCTTTAGTGAGGAGCTCTGGGAGATGAAGCACCAGAAGAGATGCCTGGAGCACTGTTGGAGGAAGACTTGGATCAAGTTTGATTGAACATGGATAAGAGCCCATATTAGGGATTACCTTGTGGCAATAAGGGCAGCAAAATGTCAGTATACCTCTACCTTTATTGCATTTACTGATAGCCATTCAGCAGCCCAGTTTAGGGTGCTGGACAAGGAGGGGCCCCAGGACTACTTACAGGGCTGCTGTGTGGAATATTCTGGTTATCTGGCAGATAAAGTCACTCAGATCTGCTCTGACTTGGGGTAGGATGTTGGAGCCCCTTTTGGGTGTTTGATGGGTTGTTGACCAGATTTGCCACCTTGTTCCTGTTATATGCTTTTTGAATGGTAAATCGTTGTTTTGTTTTTATGTCCTGAGCTGCCCAGAGGCAACTGGAGTTGAGCAGCACCTAAGTTGAATAAAATAAAAAATATATATTTTTTCTGTGTTGCAAATGGGTAGCATACTAAAAGCTGAGGTCAAAGCATATCATTTTGCCTAAGTCTGCAGAATCTCTTTGAGGTGCAATTCAATCCAGGTTCCATGCTCAGAGCATCAGTTCTTTTTATGTATATCTGCACATCTCTATCCAACACGTACAGCATAAGATGGTTTGTAATAATTTATATTAGCTGCTTTGTCACCACTGTGGCTAAGAAGGAATCCCATTCCATATTTCTTTCCTTGGATAGATACTGTTTTCCCAAGTTGGAATTTCTGGACAATTAGATCATAACATCAAGTCAGGTTTTCATGTTATGTCAGGCTATCCTTTTAAGGATTCCTTAACAGATCATTGTGTTTTAACAAAACATTTTAGCTGGTTATTCTAATCTTTTACTTGTAGAAGAAATAAGAACACTTTTGTCTGAGTTGAGCCAAAGTTGAAGACAAAGGAAGGTCTAGGCAGGCGGGCGAATGCCCACATACAAGTGCAGTATGGAAAAAGCTCAAAAATTGTTCAACTCACTTAGCAAATTGCACAAAATGAGCAGCCAGACACACCCATATTTTTGGCATTATAGGGCAGTCTTGCTCAACTTGGGAGCCCTCCAGATGTGTAATTTCAACTCTCAGAATTCTCAACAATGGAATTCTGGGAATTGATTCATATATCTGGAAGACATCTACATTGTGGAGGGCTATTATAGGTCTTATACCTGAAGTACAGATGAAGAAGTAAGAGATCTATTGGCTGTTTCTTCAAGAAAATCATCATGAGTCCACTCAGAATGGTTTTATTTGTGGTTGAAGACAAATACCTCATCTGAAATGCTTGGGCCTTTATTTTGGATTGTCCCCTTTGCTGGATTCACACATATCATCCAGAGCAATAATGTGGCTCATTTGCCTTTGGTTGTCTGGCATGTGATGTGCACTCATTCACTGTGGTTTGTAAGACATGATATAGAGCATGTATAACTCAGTTAACTGGGGTTTATTCAATAAACCATGGTTAAGCATGTTTTTGCATGATGTGTTCAAATTGGGATTTTGATGAACAGCTATTGCTTTCCTCCAGTCTCATTGGCTGGCTGATCTTGATGGATTGACTGGTACTTCAGCACAAAGACTAGGATATTATTTCAAAGCATATAAATTATAGGCTTTATGCATTGCTGTGGCCTTGTGGATGGCTTCACTTTCAAGTGAATATAAAGACGAGAGAGATTGGCCACTGTTGCATTAATATGGGATTAAAATGTAGCTTATCAAGACAGTTGCCATAGAGATCTTAATGTGTCCTCTTTATGTAGCATGCTGTTGTACACTATCAGCTTTGTGGCTTACAGAAATTCATTATAGGCTTTCCTTTTCTGTCCATAATTTAATCATGATTATAATCTATAGATGTACCAATGCTTAGTTCTACAGCTGACATTCTAGATCTTGTGTTTATAGTTACATTATAACTTCATTTGCTTGCAGCTTTGATGCCCTAACTGGTAAAAGCAGAGGTGGGGTCATTGACACTAAGACTTTTGGTGGCCAGTGTCGTAAGGTCTTCAGTGGTGACCGGAGAGAATATTATCGTCTGAGTGAAAATGTCCTTGCTTATACATTTGAGGTGTGGTTATCTTATTTTACTATTTAGCATATTTCTAATCTATCCATGACCGGACTTTAAAAAAAGTCAGATCAATTATTGAATTACACAGGAAACAAGGCGAAAAATAACAAAGTATAGAAACCATTATAAAGTTTGACATCGAAACTAACTATAAAAATGCATTGGAAAAGGGGAATCTTGTAGCCCACTACTCAAAGGTTATGCCTCCAGAGAACACAGTCTGCTAGCAGGGATCCCAGCTAAGAAGAAACTCTTCTTTGTCGCCACCCATCTAACTTTATTTGGTGATGGCCCACAAAGGAGTGCCTTGAAGGATGACTAAAATGT